CACCACCATGTCATTCTTTACCGTCATGACACATTCACTGTCACGAGGCATATTTTATTTACTTTTAGTATCATGAAGTGTTTATGAGGTGTTGGCCGTTTGGAGGAAAATTTTTAGTAAAAATTTTTAATTTGAATAGTTGTATGATGTGATATAAATAAGTATTGATGTGGTGTTTTGAATGTAAAATTAATTTTTAGTATAATATAAAAAATAAAAAATAGGTGTTTGATTTGATGTTTTTGGGAAAAAAAAATTGAATGAATAATGGGATTAAAATCCAATCCCCCAAACAAACACAAGTATTGAATACCACACTAATAATAATAATAATAATAATAATAATAATAATTTCTTTGTCTTAGATATAACATAATAGTACAAATGGAAATTTAGGATGAGTAGGATTAATAAATAATTTAAAATATATTAGTAAATTAATTATAGTATAATTAAAAATATTTATAATTTAAAATTAAAATACTAATTAATCTAATCAAAATTTTAAAAAATTATAAATGATAAATTTTAAATTTGATTAAAATGTATAATTTTTTAAAAAAGAATATAAAAATAAAATAAAATATATAACAAATATAAATAAAAAATATGACATTATATGTGAGAGGAAGGGAATAATATTTTATGTTCCAACAATTAATTTCAAATTGATAAAACAAGAAGTAGTTTTTTTTTTTCAATTCTTTTTTAAAATATAAAAATTTGATTATTTTTTTATAATTTAAATAACCATAATTTGTTTTATTAAATTTTAAATATATATCATATAATTTTAACAAAGATGTGAACACGATAATAAATGTAACTTCAAACATGACTATATCCAAAATATGAGCCATGAACATGACGTAAGAACAAGGTCGTAAATATGGGCAAAAACGTGACTGTTTTCTGAACATAGACACAAACATAGATATAAATACAATCGTGTTCAGAATATGACAACTATGTTCAAGAGTAGGATAATTAACACAACTGTGTTGAATCAAACACGACAGTATTGACTGTATGTGGAGCTTAGTTACCTATAAGTCATCCAATATGGCCGTGTTCAAGCTAATACGACCGTATTCCTTCTCTGTCAACTACCATGAAATTAAAATTGATCAAAATTGATAAAAAAAAATTTAATAAGACCAAAATTGATAATAATGATATACAATGAGAAAAAATAATAATTTTTGCTCTAACGCCTATATGGAAGCAAACAAATTGTACACTATTACGTTTGATGCAATAATGTTTATAATAGTCCCTCTATCCCAACTCAAAGTACTCCTTTTTTTTTTTTTTTTTTGTTTGTCCTACTCAAAAGTATCAATATCTTATTTTAGAAAAAGTAAATATATACTAATAACAAAATACTTTTATTTTTTACTTAAATTACAAATATAGAATTACTTTATACATAAAGTCAAATCATAAAAATGTCAAAATTTCTTGTCAAAATTTCTTATGCACTTTCACTAATCAATAAAAATATTATTATTTTTAAATATACTACAACGCCCCGAAGGATCCATTTGGATTGAAATGGAGGGAGTAATAAACAATATATATGTGTATCCAAGGCGACGGCTACCCAAGGTGCTAATTTATTTAGTACCGTTGGATTTCAATCATAGGGCTATTATTAAATAAAGTTAATTCAGTAAATTTGTACTATTTTCATCCTATTTTAATTGTCACTTTTTTTTTTTTCTCTGTTTAAATACAATTGATACTTTTTTATTTTAAGTAAAATTTATTAAATTAAAATATATTTAACAAATATAAATCAACTTAATTAAATACATAACATATAATATCATATATCATAAGACCCACTCAAAATCCCTGTCACTCTCTTAAAAAAAACAAATATTTTTATATATATTTAAAACTCTACATCTTTTATAAATTCGTTTATGTTCATTATAAAAAAATAAACATATTTTTTATTTATTTGTATTATAGAAAATTTTATTCTCTACAAAATTATATTCATATTTTATATATTTTTTTTGTGATATACTTTTTAAATATTTAAATACATATTCTAAATTTCTTTAATTATATATATTAAATTTATTTCAAAACTACTATTATTATTAATCACATAAAAATTATAAAATAATATCATAATTTATTATTATTAACTAATTAAATATTATTATCTTAAATACCGTGTCCTTAATGAAAGGGGTCAATTGACCCGGAGGGAATATTTTTTAACTTATTCTAGTATCAACTGATATTTTTTTACTTATTCTAGTAGTTATATGTGTTAGTATTCAATAATATTTTGCTAATATACTTTATTTATTATTTTATATATTACGAGGATTTGTTAATCAATTTATTTGATATAGCTTTTTCATTTGTTTAATGTTGCTAATTTAATTATTTTAGAAATTTAAATAAAATAATTATTTATATTGACACTTTCTTTTATTTTTATTCACATATTACTTATATTATAGAGAATAAATACTACATATTTTATCACACAACAAACATATTGCAAAAAAATATAATAGGGCAACACAAGATCCGCATAGCAATTTATATAGCACATTTCAGCATAGAGTAAGCATTTTCAATCATTAACATATTATTATATTTAAAATTACTGTTTTATCCTTAATAATAATAATAAATACAATACAATAATATAATATAATATAAAAATAAATAACTTGTATATTATATTTTAATAAAAATAAAAAAATATAATTAATTTATTACTATTAATTTATGTATTACATTTGGATTAAAATTTAAAATTTAAATACTGAATTTAAATAGGAGTATATAAACTTTTTAATTATACTTAAATTACTAAATATAATTTATAAAATTTTAAAATAAATTATAAAATACAAATTATTTAATATTATATTGTAATTTTATGTTTAATTGATATATTATCCTTAAATTAAAATTTTAAAATATAAATAATCAAAATTTAAAAGTACAATTTTTATACTTTAATTTAAAATCTTTAAATATAATTTATAAAATTTAAATTAAATTATAAAAGTGTTATAGAAAAATACTATTATATTAACCGCATGTCCTTTTAAGTAATTTTAATAGTTTAAAAAACTTTTAACTATATAATGTCCAAACAGTTTTTTTTACGAAAAACTACTTTTATAATGATTTATCCAAACCCAAAATCGAATTGCTTTTGGCTTCTGCTTCTGCTTCTGCTTTTGGCTTCTGCTTCTGCTTTTGGCTTCTGCTTATATTTCTAAGTCAATCTATACGGCCTCTTACCTTATAATAAACACATTTTATCACACAACAAACATATTGCAAAATTAACATATTATTAAGTTTAAAATAACATATTTATAATGTAACACATATTTATATATAGATAACAAATACTTACATCATGTAAAATACAATTTTTTTTTTTTTTTTATATCAATTGTTACAATTTTCTAATTTAATTTTTTATATATTTAATTAAAATAATTATATGTGGAAGAAGACAAAGAAAGAAAGAAGGAAGAGAAATTAAGTACCTCAATAAAACAAAATTATGCACTAATTTTTTATTCCTCTTATGAAAAAAATTATAAATTTACAATCATACTCTTAATCTTAAATTCAGTCTTTAGATTGATTATTAGGGCTAATCAACACTATGATTTATATAATATATAACATCTTTTTAATAAAATAAAATAACAATTTCGAAGTGAAATAGTGCGTAGGCATGTCAACAGGTCGAATCCGGTCTGGATCTGGAAATTCCGGATCCGGATCAGACCACTCATTATGGTTCCCGAATTCAGAATCAGAGCCGTCGGAACTTAAAAAATGGTGACTAGATCCGATTCTGTCGATTCCGATCTGGTTCGGATTCGGATCCAGGTCTAATATTTAATGAATTAGGTTTGAATTCAAGTTTAGATTAATGTATAAAAAATTTATCAATATTTTTTTTAAAAAATAAACATTTAGATTTAATCAATATATATTTTCAATTTAAATATAAAATATCTAACTAACAATATTATTATAATACCAAAGAAATAATTTAAACTATGTAACATTGTATACATAACATACAATTATATAAGTATATTAATATATAATACTCCCTCCGTCCCAAAGTATAATCTTATTGTGTTAGACACGAGATTTAAGAAATATTGATATTATATCGGTAATTGGTAAAAAATAATGATAAATGACTTTTTTGCCCTTGTCATCAATGTAAAAAATAGTGACAATTGTGTAATAATAATAAAAAAAGTAGAGATAGTTTTACGGTGATATGATTATTTATGGAAATGATATTATTGTTTTGAGACGGACATAAATGGTAAACAAGACTATTGTATTGGGACGGAGGAAGTAATATATATATATATATATTAACTGCCGGATCCGGATCGGTTTCGGATCGGAACTAGAAATACCAGATCCAGAACTATGTACTCCCTCTGTGATATTATCGTAGATACGAAAATTTAGTCAAAGTATAATTAAATAAGTAATTAAAAAGTATATTAATAAAAATAATTATTCGATCGTACAAATAATTTTAAATTAAGATTACGATAACAAAATTTAAAAAAATTATAAATTATAAAATTTATAATATAATTATTTGGACAAGAAAAGAACAAATTATGTGAACAAACAAAATAAAAAATATTAATATTTTTTTATGTGAAATGGAGAAAGTAAGATGAATTCAGACCCGTATCCATGAGGATCCGAATCCGAAAAGATATACCAGATCCGGTCCAAAACGGGTCCAATTGACATTAAGCAATGGTGCGAATATAATGAAGTAGTAATATCTGAAATTAGGCTTAGGGTTTTCTTGATTACAATTAAAATGAAGGAAAGAATAATTAGGTATAGAATTAGGACAGCCTCACTAAGCCTCGAAATATTTTGGCCATAAAATAAATAGGGGAAATATTTCCTGTATTATTTTATGTTTTTTACCTTCTCCGCCCGCCAGTCAATCCGGTTTGCTTTTGTTCACGCACACACTTTCTCTCTCTCTATCAGATCACCACAACAATCGTGCCTTCTTCCTTGATCCTCTCTGCCTTTTGACTCCTTTGGCTTCCTTCTTCTCCCTCCAGTCCTCCTTCCCTCCTCAATCGCGAAATCCCCCCAAAACCCTCATCCCCCAACCAATCCACAATTCCGCTGCTAATTTGAATTCGCATTGCTGCTGCTGCTGCTGCTGCAGGAATGGCCGCGCCGGAGCTTGCACAGACCGATCCGGAGGGGATCGAGGGGGTCCGGATGACATGGCTCAACTGGCCCAGGACGAAGGTGGAGGCCTCAAAGTGCGTGATCCCAATTGCCGCCTCAATTCAGCCGATCCGGCCCCATGTGGATCTGCAGATCCTTCCCTACGCCCCCCTCCGATGCAAGACGTGCTCCGCCGTGTTAAACCCATTCTGCCGGGTGGATTTCTCCGCCCTGATATGGATCTGCCCCTTCTGCTTCCAGAGGAACCCTTTCCCGCAGCATTATTCGTCGATTTCCCAGACGAATATGCCCGCCGAATTGTACCCCAATTTCCCCTCAATCGAGTACTTGATCCCCAATTTCCAGAATCCTCCGCAGGGCTACGGCGCTGCCGTGCCGCCTTCTCCGATTTATTTGTTGGTTCTGGATACGTGCATGCTGGAAGAGGAGTTGGAATTCGCGAAATCGGCGCTGAAACGGGCGATTGGGATGCTTCCGGATAATGCCATGGTTGGATTCATTTCCTATGGCACTCAGGTGCAGGTTCACGAGTTAGGCTTTTCAGAGATGTCAAAGGTTTATGTGTTCCGGGGCGCCAAGGACATCTCAAAAGATCAGGTCTTGGAGCAGTTAGGCCTTGGCGGTGTTGGGGCTCGCCGGGCTGGACAACCAGGGATTCATAAGGGCGGCGGCCCTAGCCCCGTGGCGCTGGCTGGCCCCAATACCAATACCGGAATTAATCGTTTCCTTTTACCGGCTTCAGAATGTGAATATACTCTGAATTCGGTAAAATGTGCTATCCTTTCGTTGATTTTATGCTTACGTCTGTACTAGTTAATTCTGATTCTGTAATTTGGAGCTTGGATATAGTTGGACTAATCCCTGGAGTATTGTGGTTTTTGGCTATTTCATTGTTTTGTTACGCGGATGTTCATTCGCCGCCGTTGTTTGTGGTGCAGTTGTTGGATGAATTGATGACAGATCAATGGCCAGTGGCACCTGGGAACAGGGCATTGCGGTGCACTGGAGTTGCACTCAATGTTGCAGCTGGGTTGCTCGGGGCCTGTATGGCAGGGACTGGTGCACGAATTATTGCGTTGGTCGGTGGTCCTTGCACTGAAGGTCCTGGAGCGGTAAATCCTTGAATTTTTGTCTATTGCTTTGACCTTTTGTATGCGTATTATTTTATTGTTTAAATTATGTCTCGGGGCGTATTTGATGCATATTTCCCTGTGTTGGATCCGTCTGTTATATTGTTAGACAAGCTCATCCCGTGCTTAGTTTTGTCATGCATTTTTTATATTCAAGTTTCAGATGGAATTTGGTGAGATTCTTATCATGACTTAGATTTCTGTTTGGTCCTTTATAATTGTGTTTGTTGTTGAGTTTTAGTTTTTGTTTCTATGTAAGACTAAATAGATCTTATTCATCCCACTACTCATGATACGAATCAACATATGATTGTAGAGATTCTCCTACATCTGGAAATTTACTACTATGAATGAAGATAATTTCTTTCAAGTTGCAACATTTCAGTATTGGTTCTGTCAATCACATGGAAGGCACTTGCATGATGTGACCAGTGACGGCTCTTTTAATTTTAGATTCCACAATGTGATTGTTATAGATGCAACTATAATTGGACATAAGGAATTTTACTTGTATCATTTGGTGAATGGGTTGCAGTTGTTTGTTGCTTTGGAGGTTCTTAACACCTATCAACTGTTTCTTTATTTTATAAAACATATGGTTATTGAAAAACACAATTCTTGTTGGATCATTATCTCTACTCACATTTAAATATAAGTATCATTCAAACGTGATTTGACCTTGAAATATTTTCATTTGACGGGAAATCTCTTCACATAGTCTTCTATGACATCATCCAATATAATTACTTTTTCACAACACATAAAAACACAATACTTCAACACACCCAATGGTGAACCCATTGTTGTCAAATGCTTCCTAAAATAGAATAATTATCTTTATTGTTTCTTTCTTGCAGTCCCAAAATAACTTACAAGCTTGAATATTTAATTTAATATCTTACATGTTTGTTATGTTACTCACTGGAATCAATGCTTTCGTGCAGTGGTTTCATTAGTTACTGTAATCAATGCTTTCGTGCCATGATTCATTTAGTTTCTGATCCATTACACAATCTGGATGCCATTTTCTACAATATTATGAATTAGCCCCAATAAGGTTTTCAGGAGGCCATCTTTCTTCACAAACTACTGGTTCTCTTTATACTGCCAAGAGGAAGCTGTCAGATATACCTAAAACCAAACCTAATAAGTTAAAATTGGCCTTGTAAAAAATTCTTTCCTTTAAAATTTAATGACTACACATGATATTTTGAGGAATTTTCAGCCACATGCTTTACCCCTTGACTATTTGAAGTTCCTTCTACCATATTTTCCAGTAGCCATCGAAATGTATACCGTAGTCTCACTATTATATTTTGATACTAGTTTACAGTCCATTCTGACATCTATTCCATGCTTTGAAATTTTCCCTAGACACATTACCATGGCTTCTTCCTATTATGCTTTGATTTGAGAACCTGTTCTGATTTTTAGTTTTTATTTTTTATTTTTTGTGTGCTTTGTTTATAGATTGTATCAAAAGATTTGTCTGATCCAGTACGTTCGCATAAAGATCTTGACAAAGATGCGGCACCATTCTTTAAGAAAGCGGTCCAATTTTATGATGAGCTTGGAAAACAGTTGGTTAGTCAAGGACATGTGTTGGATGTCTTTGCCTCTGCACTTGATCAGGTTTTGTCTTGTTCAACTTTCCTTATTCCATTCTCATGGCACCTGTATAATGCTACTTTTATGGCCAAATTAACTGAAAAATGCATAATGCTACTATATTTATACTTCCATGAATGGGTTGTAAAATTATTTTGCTGCCTTGCAAGGTTTGCTCTCCTTTTCCTTTCTCAACTGTCTCACGCTATTGTGCCATTTTCTAAAATAGGAATCAACCTTCTCGCACTCAACTTATACAATTATTTGTAATGTAGTATCAATACTTCTGGTCTCTGTTATATTGATGCAAAACAATTTCAGTTACCAATCTCTCCTTAGATGCCTTGTACTTTGTCAAATAAGGTAGCACATTGGGAGAGTGTAAATGTTAGATTACTGTTAGAAATTTTGAGTTTTGATGCAGCCAACATCCAATTTAACTCTAGGTTATTGACTTCTAGAATTTTATGTCTTCAGGTTGGAATTGCTGAGATGAAGGTTGCCATTGAAAAAACTGGTGGACTTGTTGTTTTGGCTGAAAGTTTTGGCCACTCTGTCTTCAAGGATTCATTCAAGCGCATTTTTGAAGATGGGGAACAGTCTCTGGGCCTTGCCTTTAAGTAAGTTGATATTGAATGTAGAGAACAATCATTTTGGGCGGATAAATTTATGTTAATTCACTAGGTTTGAATGTAGTTAGGAGTGCCCTTAGAAACAAATTTATTATTGAGTGATATATCTTCTCTCTTAGGAATGAAACTGATATCCCTGGAAGTGTTTGCGTTTCTGGCTAATGGACTATTCTGTCTCTAGTCTTTGTGACAATTTAACTTATTCTTTTAAATGGATTTTTAGATGAAATCTAAGTTCTCAATGATGAATCTGACTTTTCTTTTTCTTGCTATGTTGGTTTCTGCTCAGTGCAGTGTATGGTGGACTACGTCCTACAGTTCATGCTGTTAATATGCTTAATTTTAAACATTTAGATCATAAAATCGAAAATCTCGCCCATGTTATTCAGCTGATTATCAAAACTACGTGTAACTAAAAATTCTATGAAGTAGCAGTTTTCAAATGTGATGTCCTTCCAGTTTTGGTGGTGGCAATTTTGTGAGTCTATGAAATCTCTAATTATGTAGAAAGTTAAGTGATGTTAAGATCAGCTTGACAATGGTTTAGTTGTTTCTTATGGAATTATGTTGGCTGAGAATAATGTTGAATGTTCTCTGGTTGTAGTGGGACATTGGAGATCAACTGCTCAAAGGATATAAAGATACAAGGAATCATTGGGCCTTGCACTTCACTGGAAAAGGTTTGTCCATTCATTTTCCATTACATGCACTAATTTGCAGTCCACTTGAATTTTGTATTGTCCATTATATTGTGTTGGTATCCTCCTATCGTGCTTGATTGTGTGGTCTGTGAAACCATTTTTCAGAAAGGGCCTGCTGTTGCTAGCACAGCTATAGGACAGGGAAACACTACTGCTTGGAAGCTGTGCGGCCTTGATAAAAATACTTGCTTAACCGTCTTATTTGATGTTGCTTCTAGTGAAAAATCTGACCCTGCTGGGCCAAATCCTCAACTGTACATTCAGTTCCTTACAAGGTATGTGAAAAATCTTTTGACACATTCCCCCTTAAAATAAGATTACACAAACATTTATAACAAGACAATGGTTCAAACACATTTTATTCTGCCCAAATTCGATTTCGTCTTTGGGAAACAGTTATCAAAGCCCTGATGGCCAGATGCGGTTGAGAGTCACAACTGTTACTAGGCGATGGGTGGATAGTACATTGGGTAATGAGGTAGGATGATTAATTGGCCGTCCATTCAATGTGATCTCTTTTGCTATTCATCTTGAAAGGACCCTTAAGTAAAACAGCACGTCTTTAAAATTTTAAGATTGAGCAGGATGGTACAAATGTTTTGGTTGCAGATTGTGAGGTCTGTGATTTCCATCTTTATTTTATGGCACTGGTGAAGATTAATTAGAAGGAAGTTGGCAGATTATTGCTTTAACAGGCGTAGGAGGATTGTTATACCTTTTTATATATTCATCATTAGGTGCTTTCCAACATCAGTATTTGTAACTTAAGTTTTACAATTCTATCATCTAGCTAGGATAATATTTATGCACAAATTGTAGTATGTATTTTTTGTTTGATAAATATAAGATGACCCGAAGACTGTTCGTTTCTTTGCCTCTATTTTATGCTTTTATCTTTGAGTTTACTCTTATTACATAGCTCCAGTGGTACTGATGTTAGCTTTGATGCCATTCACAATTTGTTTTGTGCATGCAGGATTTAGTTCAAGGGTTTGACCAAGAAGTTGCTGCTGTAGTAATGGCTAGATTAGCTTCATATAAAATGGAGATGGAGGTAAAATCTTAGCTGAATTGTTATAAATGTGTATAACAGGTTTTGACCAAAATGTGTTCTTGTTTACATGGGTATGTGTATTTCTCTTTTAGAATAGTATTTTCTTCCACATGGAGGTGAAAAAACAGAAGCTTGATGGAGTATGCAATGAATACTCAAACGTTGGGGATGACTTGCTTAAAGTAATACTTATCAAATGAAAACTGTTACCCAAGAATGTACAAAGTGAAGGCAAGAAGTATAAGTTACCTACCATGAATCTTGGAAGGAATATCTTTGATACAAGATGCACTGTCCGATTTTCTATGCTAGATACTAAAAAAATGAATGTGTGAATGAGGCTATGTAGCTTGGGAAGAGTGTTCTTATTTTGATATAGAATGTTGAGAATAAGAAACTTGTGTTCTTTGATGTTATAAATTGAAATTGAATCTTTATATTGATGGTTACTTTCACTTTATATTGTGTACACAGATTTATTGGTGTTTCCTATTTTCAGGAAGGTTTTGATGCCACAAGGTGGCTAGATAGGAATCTGATTCGTCTGTGTTCCAAATTCGGGGAATATAGAAAAGATGATCCAGCTTCATTCACACTGAATCCATGTTTTTCATTGTTCCCTCAATTCATGTTTAATCTGCGGAGATCACAATTTGTTCAGGTAAATTTCTTATAAGTTCTATTAATACCTTTCATTTTATCATCTTTTAATCCTTCCTTTTTCTGTTCAGGTATTTAATAATAGTCCGGATGAGACTGCCTATTTCCGCATTCTATTGAATCGGGAGAGCATAAGCAACGCTGCAGTCATGATTCAACCATCATTAATATCATATGCATTTAATTCCTTGCCTGCACCAGCTTTGCTGGATGTCCAATCCATAGCAGCTGATCGCATTCTATTGTTAGATGCATATTTTAGTGTAGTTATTTTCCATGGAATGACAATAGCTCAATGGAGGAACATGGGCTACCAACATCAGCCAGAACACCAGGTGTGTTTATATGAATTTGAGATTTGTATGTTTGAGGCAAACACTTTATATTCATATTTGTTATGATGAGGAAGATGAGTTGGATTTTCATTTGAGTTTGATTACTCTGACGTTTGGTTACTTGAAAGAACTGTGGATCTTTGTGGGTCTTAAAAGTATCAACCAATCAATTAGTTTCTTCCAGTGAATGTCCTTATGCCCTCTACCTTTGCTATTCCTGTCTTTTTTAGATGATACTAGAAATCACAAAATATATTGGCCCTTCATATATAAGTTTCAACGAAAGTAACTATCTTATTATTCTTTGAACACTGCCATCTATTCTCAAATTATCTGAGTCTATGATCTGTACACTGCCTGCAGATTTTATAATTGTTTTCATTCACTTGTCCTGATACATATAAGAGAAAATGTAGTGAATGCATAGTTTGTAAGATCTCCGCAATTGTTTAGAGTTATCAATGATGAGTGTTTTGATTTTCTAGAGCTTTTAAACCTCTTTTATTTTATGATGTATTTCCATGTCCCAGTGACTTGTTGGCAGGAGTATAAATTCCTTTACTATCTGCCCTTTTTTTCTGCTCTCATATTATCAGCATTTACTTTTTTTTTTTCACCCTTTTGAACATTTTTATCAATCATGAAGATGCACTTCACTAAACTTAATCTGATTCAGGGTGTTGTTGGAATAACAGTTATGTGATCTTCTCCATGCACTTACTATTATTATTTTATTTTCCCATGATATAGGGTTTTGCACTTTTATTGCAAGCCCCGCATGATGATGCCCAATTAATAATCCGTGACCGGTTTCCCGTTCCCAGACTTGTGGTTTGTGATCAGCATGGCTCTCAGGTAATTTTTAATTCCTATTACCCCTTTCTTTATTTAGTCAAGTTGTGTTGTGTTTATATGCATGTCATAAGTCTTGACCTGAAACCTAATTGTTTTCTGATTGAATGAATGAATCAATTTTGTCTCCTGACATACCTTCCTGTTGTGGTTGCTATAAACTGTAAATCTTCATTTCTATCCAGCTGTAATCAATACAATTGTGTGGGTACATACATATCCTGTTCCATAATCTATCTATGTTGTTTCCAGGTGATGGTTTGGAGTGCAACACATGAGCGTGTTAAGATTCCAAAATTTTCACTTTTTATTAAGACCTTGCAAGCACAATTGCCATCCCTTTATGCTACTGGAATCTATTCTCCACATAGCTTAAGCCTTTGTGATTGAACATCATCAATAACATTTCATGCATTTTCCTTGTGCCCTCAAAACTGCCACCATGCTTTATTCAACGTACCTAGTGTAGATTAATGTACCTCCTTGAATGATTGTGGAAAATAACCACAAAAGGGTTTTCATACACTCTAGGACATAAAACATGATCAATGCTCCCTAAATGATATGACTTACAAAGATATTTGAATTGCTAGTATTCTTCAAGACTGTATGCTCACCATTGTTGTTGGTATCTGCAGGCAAGGTTCCTTCTGGCAAAGCTGAACCCTTCGGCCACCTACAGCAACGCCCATGAGATGAACACCGGATCCGATGTAATATTCACTGACGATGTGAGCCTACAAGTATTCATTGATCACCTCCAGCGGCTGGCAGTCCAAGGTTCTTAACAAAGTGAAGAAGAAGACTTGCCTTGTCTCCTGGATTATATGCAAAAAATACAAACAAAAACAATCAAAATCAAAATGATGGGAATGAAACTATCTATGGTTATTGCAGAGATGAGAGCAGACCCTTCCTTGTTTACTATATGTTGATATTCTTTTGGGGGTTTGACATCACACAGAAGAAGCTCTTTTGCTTCTCTTTTTTAATTTTTTTATGAAGCTCTCCAGGGACACCTCAACTCAAATTCAGAGCATATTTTGTAATCTTTTTTTCTTTTTTGGATTGAACATATGGTTGTTGTAAGTTAACTAAGAGAAGAATGACATTTTTGGGCTTCACAGTGGTAGGGATTTTTCTTTTTTCGGGTGGACAGATCTGTATACACAATTATATTCGACTGTTTCCCAATAATTGTTACCTGTCATGCAGTCAATCAAATATTTTACTTAATTCGTGTGATTCACTCTTTCGTATTTTAATGCATTAAATAAAGGAGATTTTTTTTTTATTATCTAATTAAAATAAAATAACAAAGTAATTAAATTAAAGGGGAACTGACTATCCAGGAGATGCCTATGCCGGGCTCAAGGGATGATGCAGTTGTGACACTTGTGTTTTTATCATAAATTCAATAAAGTTAATTGTTTATAGTATAAAGTTAATTTTTATTAAAGTATCAATAAATTGGTTATAGTTATCAACAAGCTCTGACAACCAATTTTTCCTTACATTGCAGGTAATTAAGGTACGACCGTTAACTACCCCTAATTAAGCAAATAAACCTAGGTGCGCCCATAAGAATATTGCCTAACCGCATAGTAATCTAGAAAAACCCAATTCAAAAAAATTACTACCTAGGAGGAGCAATTAGATTTGATTGTCTAACTCCCGGGAAGGAACTATTCAACTCGGTTATCACCTATTCAAGTGCGAATACAATTACGGATATCCTACCTGAATTGACTTTAGATTATCAGACTAATTTAAATATCGGTACCAAAATATTCAATCAATCTAACAATCACAAACACTATTATCAGAATTAGACAAATATTGATAATAAAAAAGAACTTCTATAAAGAAAATCAAGAATCTCCAAAACAAAAGAACCAAAACATTATCACCTCTCAAACCAGAAAAGTATCTACTTGATAATCAAATAACAAAGAACAAAAGAGAAAGATAAAGTCATAGTGGAAGGGGGAAATCTTCTCTGTCGATTCGCTCATGCGCGATCTATGAATCTGTCAGTCTCCTGCTCCTGTGCGTTTCTGCCCTCGCCGTTCTCCCCTTGGCAATAGGTGTGTGTTTTTTTTCTTATTTGATTTTTGCCCTAATTATTTTGTAGATGGACTTTTGGGCATTTAATTAATTTATCATATCAAGAGGGTGTAGTTAGTCATGGTCATGACTAACTAGGTTGTGCAAAACTGAATTTTTCTTCCCTTTTTTTGCCAATTATGCCAAATTTGATATTTGCCCTCTGCACACAGCAAATAAACAATTCGCATATAAATTAGGTAGAATCCAATCAAAATCACTCAAATATCGCATATGATATGAATATAAAACGTATGCGATTTCCAACTATCAATTCTCCCCACACCTAGATCATGCTTGCTCTTAAGCATAATTTCGAAATAAGCCAAAGAAATCGCAGGCAACTCGATATGACAAGAGGATCCAACACAACCAATTCAATCCGAATTTTAACACATGAAGCCAAGTCAACCTCACAAGATAAAGTGTGTACTCGCACATGCTCTCTGAAGGAATTAAGTGTATAATTGGCTCACCACTCAGGTAGTGCAACAAAAGATTATTCTATAGGCTTGAGTAAAAATCAAATCTCCCTTGCTTAAAATATTCGAATCTAGCGTAAAGAATCAAAGGGACTTTCAATAAGGGTTGTAACGGGGCTTATGGTCAGGGTAGGAAAAAGGATATACAAGGGCTAAAATATGTCAGAAAAGAATACAATAAGAACACGATGCTAGCATATGAAAAAAAAAATCGGCATAAACAATGAAATCCTTACTCTATTCACTACCCAAACTTTAATAATGAAATTAAATGAAAATACTTTATTAAGATAATTATTTATTTATTTATTTTGTATTATTTTTTTGTTTCCTTTTTTTTTTGTTTTTTTTATTTCTTTTTTTTTTGATTTTTTGATTTTTGATTTTTGATTTTTGCTTTGGTCTTTATATATATAAATATATTTTTACCACCCATAATTATTCATTCATACTGTGACTTATTCGTACCCAAAGTTCGTTTTTAACTAGTGCCGAAGAAATAAAGTGCATCACAACATGGACTTAAAGTAATTTTTTCTAACATAGGGTTCAAATCGGAGAAGGCTCAATCAAAAGAAGGGTATAAGGCTAAAAAAACAGTTTATTATAAAAGAAAAAAATAGGCTAAGAAGGCTCAAATGGACTAATTAGGGAAATATATTGTGCTGGGTAATAAAGAAAGGCTTAATGGGTTACCTAATGCCCTTATCATTTTCAAAACGTAAGACTCGATAGTTGCAAGTTCAACATGCATAATCACTCAAGTTCTAGGTCATCTAATTGAGCACTACAAATCACACATGAAAGAAATTTCCAAAAGCTTGAATATATGCAATTTATTTTCTAATGTAACTTTTGGAACATAGGCTCAAATCTCACAGGGTTCAAATGTCGACTTGTCTCAACATATCACCAATCAAATGTCATTAGTCATGCCAAACTAACCTATCACACAAATCACCTTTGACTCACTTCAGAAAAATCTCAAAAACACGCGAAAGGACAGCAAATCATACATAAAAAGTAGCAAAAAAATGAAAATTTTGCCCAAAATTTTGTATAATTCCTCTCCCCACACCTAAAGTATGCATTGTCCTCAATGTAAAAAAAACAATAAAAAAAGAGAGGAACTTCCCTGGAGTCCATAGGGGGTGTAGTAGTTGGGAGCTTTGTTAACACCTCTTCATTTGATCATGATTTTTAGGGAGGCTTGAAGTTCTCCTGAGTCCTGCGAAAACAACTAACCAACGCAAGCCATTTAGAGGAGTGGATGTGGTGATCGGCGATGACTGAGCAGGGGAGGAAGAAGTCGACGGCGCCGGAGGTTGGAGGCGGCTACTAAACCAAACAAAACTATCAAAAGTATTATTAGCATTTAAATAATAAAAATAAATAAAATTAAAGAAAGCAATTAAATGATTTGGGTTGTCTCCCAAAAAGTGCTTTTCTTTATAGTCTTTGAGCTAGACTTCGCCTCGCATCAATTCTGAACATCGAAATCGGCAACGGGTGCCGACTTTATAGGATCAAGTGAGGGTCCCTCGTGGTATAATTTGAAGCGATGTCTATTGGCCACACATTTTTTCTTCGGCTTAGAATTTTGATTCTCCTTATGACATTTTTTCGCTGCCAGCAATGGTGATCCCTTGGGAATCCATCTCCACTTTTCGACAATCTTTTTTCTTTTCTTACTCTCTCCAGTTGGTTTTTTCTCTAACTGTTTTGTCAACACAGTTCTTCGTTTATTCTCATTACCAACTTTACAAGTTTCCTGCACCACAGAATTAATAACATTAATTGCATATAACGATTCAGATTCAATAGGACATTTGACGGGATTAAAAATATTGAAATGAAATTCTTCTCCATCAAACTCCAAGCTGAGTGTGCCCTTTTTAACATCTATCCTGAATATAAAAATCAACAGGAAAAATCAATTCATGCACTTGAACTAGTACATCTTCTATCATACCATCAGGATAAGCATGGGTTCGATCAGCAAGTTGAATAATAATTCCTGTTTCTTTTAGAGGCCCTAGATTTAAAGAGTCGTATATTGATCGAGGCATGACATTAATAGCAGCTCCTAAATCTAGCATAGCCTTAGTTATTATCTTAGTTTTTCCAATCCTACAAGGGATAGAAAACATACCTGGATTACCTGTTTTAGGTGGTACCTTTCTTTTGATAACAGCAGAAACGTTCTCACCCGCTATAATGTGCTCGTCCCCTCGCAATTTTCTTTTGTTGGTGCACAGTTCTTTCAAAAACTTTGCGTACTTGGGGATTTGGTTGATAGCTTCCAGGAGCGGGATATTAAGTTCCACCTTCTTGAATATTTCCATCATCTCGTTTCGTTTGTTTGTCTTTTGTGGTTTCTTCAACCTGTCAGGAAAAGGAGCTGATTTAGTTTCAGTAGGAGGAACAGAGTTAGGAAGTACCTTTTCGTGAAGTTCAACTTCTTTTTCGATCTCCATCTCAATCTGATCCTCATTCTGTTCCTTTGAGATATGAGGTGGACCTTCCAATTCCTTTCCGCTACGAAGGGTTATAGCACTCGTATTCTTTGGATTAGGCATGGAGGAACATTCAATCATTGTATCACTGTAGATAGTGATGGCACTGACATTTGTTGGATTTGGCTCAGGCTGAGCAGGCCACTTTCCTCTTTCACGTAGCTGTCTCACCTCCTCTGACACTTGATTGATCTGACCTTGTAATTTGTCGACAGTTGACTTCATCTCTTGCTGGAATTGCAGGGTACTAGTAGCCATAGACTTCACCAAGTCTTCTAAAGATGGACTGGAGTTGCTTGCGGGTGCTTGGGGCGGCTGTTTCTCATAGAAACGAGGTTGTTGCATCTGCTGCATAGCTCCAAATGGTTGATGAGCATTACCCTGTTGTGCGTTTCCATAACGCAAGTTCGGATGATCTCTCCAGCCTGGATATAGGTGTTGGAGTATGGATTGTACGCTGGAGGTCTATTCATACAGTAGTTTGTAGTGTTCACATCCACTGCACATTCTTTTTGGAGGGTCGGACATGCATCTGTAGAGTGTCCTACACTCGTGCATATTCCACACGCCTTGACCTGGACACTCGGGTTGGATTTTTCCACGACCATCCTGCGAACGAAGCTCGTCAACTCAGAAAGTTGTTGTTGTATCGATTGGATGACATGGTCGCTGTTGTTTCCGCTCATATGTCCAACATCTCTTGAACCAAATTGCTGCGTGTTTTCAGCCATCCTTGCAATAAGATCCCAAGCTTGTGCCGGCATCTTATTTACTAAAGCTCCACCACTTGCAGCATCGATAATGTTCCTGTCCATCAACGACAAACCATCATAAAAGTATTGAATCAATAATTGAGGGGGAATTTGATGTTGTGGACATTTAATGATAAGCTTATTGAATCGCTCCCAATATTCATGGAGCGTTTCACCTGATTGTTGCTTGATGCCACATATCTCCTTTCTCAGGATTGCAGCTCTGGAAGCTGGAAAGTACTTCTCCAAAAATTTCTTCTTCATGTCGTTCCACGTGTCGATGCTTCCAGGTGGGAGATAGTAGAGCCAATCCTTTGCAACATCTTTGAGTGAGAGTGGGAAGGCTCTGAGTTTGATCTGTTCGTCAGTAACACCTGGTG